ATACACATCTAGTAAGTTTAACTTGCATCAAAATACCTAGTATACATGTCCAGTATGTTTAACTCGCATCAAAATACCCAGTATACATGTCCAGTATGTTTAACTCACATCAAAATACCCAGTATACACATCCAGTATGCTTAACTCCCATCAAAATACCCAGTATACACATCAAAACACCCAGTAAAAACGTCCAGTATGCTTAACTCCAATCAAAATACCCAGTATGCACGTCCAGTATGCTTAACTCCAATCAAAATACCCAGTATGCACGTCCAGGATGTTTAACTCGCATCAAAATACCCAGTATACACATCCAGTATGTTTAACTCACATCAAAATACCCAGTAAAAACATCCAGTATGTTTAACTCACATCAAAATACCCAGTATACATCCAGTATGTTTAACTCGCATCAAAATACCCAGTATACACATCCAGTATGTTACCTCCAACCAGGTTATTCAGTATACACGTCCTGTATGTTTAACTGCCATTAAGCTACCCAGTATATACATCCAGTGTGTTACCTCAAACCAGGTTATTCAGTATACACGTCCAGTATGTTTGACTCCCATCTGGCTACCCAGTATATACATCCAGTGTGTTACCTCAAACCAGGTTATTCAGTAAACATGTCCAGTACGTTTAACTCCCATCTGGCTACCCAGTATGTTACCTCCAACCAGGTTATTCAGTTTACACGTCCAGTATGTTTGACTCCCATTAAGCTACCCAGTATGTTACCTCCAACCACGTTATTCAGTATAGACATCCAGTATGTTTAACTCCCATCTGGCTACCCAGTATGTTACCTCCAACCAGGTTATTCAGTATACATGTCCAGTATGTTTAACTCCCATCTGGCTACCCAGTATGTTACCTCCAACCAGGTTATTCAGTATACATGTCCAGGTTACCCAGCAGACAGTAAAATTATTAAGTAAAACAATCTTTTATTATCTTTTGAGACAAAGAACAGTCTCATTTCAAATATTTATCGTGTACTACTAAGTCTAGCTTTACTTTATTAATCTATCTGTGTGAAATTTCACCTCTATTATACAACACAGTTTACAATATAGTGTTCCTTTATACCAACCCTGAATACAAAGGTTAAGATGTATTATACACCAAGCTTCACCCTACAGTACTCGTGAGGGTTGTTACAAATGGAGTTCAGTCAAACTGGATTAATGTTAAAAGTGGGGTACCTCAGGGTTCAGTCTTAGGACCTTTGATATTTTTGATTTACATCAAGCACATAGATGAAAGAATGGTCAATAAATTACTTACATTTGTAGATTATATTAAGATCTTGGGTGTTGCTAGCTGTGAAGAGGATGCTGTTGATTTACAAAAGGATTTAGATCATTTAGTGAGTTGGGCAAATGAATGGCAGATGGATTTTTATTATAATAAATGCAAGATAATGCATGTGGGTTATCATAATTTAAATTATACGTAATATATGGATAGGAATAACCTTAACAGTGTCATGAAGGAAAGGGACCTTGGTGTAATAGTTGATCAGTCTCTAA